CCACCGACTCCACCGGCGCCTCCCGCACATCCAACGCGTGGCCGTTGCTGATGCTGTTGTTGTAGCTGTTTCAGTTCGGTGGAAGCGACCCTGTTGATGACGGGCGATCCGCCCGCCCCCCCGTTTCCTGTTCCACTGCCGTTGCTTCTCAGTGACACTTCCCTGGACTTGCGGAACAGCTGCACCTCTTCGGCGCGGTTCATGTCGACACAAAACGGCCACGCCAACATCCGGTGGCCGCCGTGCACATGGTTTTCTGAGCGCGGTACGCCTGGCCGCCGCACTCACGGTCTGTGGGTGACATTGTGTGACGTCATGTCAGCTTCAGTGTCAGCGTCGGATTCAGTGTCGGTGGCAATAGTGGCTACTGAGACAACGTTTGCAGTGGCTGAGGCTGAGCCGGAAGCGGTGCGAGWCGGGCGACTGCGGAAACGTCAGAGCACAACCATCCGTATACCCGCGTGATCCGCGACGCGCGTCGCAAATCCGGAAATATAAGTTTATTTTCCGTCAAACCTAATATCAACAACCATACGTTACCATCACGACAATTTATGATGGTCGTCTCGCATTGGTTTACCACGACCGTGAACCTTAATATGGGTAGGCATAATATTCTTTGAACCTATGTACAATTGTATCTAAATGTGAATATCGACGAATGTACACTGTAAGGACTTAGTTTAGACGCTAATTTCGGTGAATTAGAAAWAATAATAATTATAATATTCTAATTTAACTGGTATTTACCATAATGTAGCTGCGGTAAATATAAAAAATCAATTCGATTGTTTTCTGTTTATTTACACTATATTAAATTGTTTTGGTTAGATATAAGCAAATTCCTACGTATTTCAATTTTAGAAGACATAAAATAATGTGCCATTTCCTATACCACTTCAAATTAAACAGACATTTTACAAATATTCTAAGAAAAAATAGTAGGCTACTATTCAAAACGAAAAATCAATGTTGCACCAATTACCATGTGTGATACAGAAACACGTGGTAATTAAAAAAATGAACTCAAATATTTTTAACTGAGTTAAATATACTATTTTTTGACTTATTATCACACAATTACATTGACCTAACTTAATTAAATCTAGTTAAATTTCAAAATTTGCCTTTTTTCGGTTTTTGATCGTGGCAACCGTCTGGCTCGATATGATTTCCTTTTTTTTATAATTGACGACTTTTGTACTGTACAACATTTTTATTGGTTGATCAAATTGTTCAGAATTAGGTTCTCCCAATCTTTGACATATAATGTTCATATAATTCATAAACTATTTTACACATTAATTTTACGCACAATTTTCGTAAACATAATATCTAAGAAGGTGGACGGAAAAATAATTTTTTCTTAACCATTCTCCGTTCGACAGATGCTGRACTAAGAGCTTTATCGATTTACGCCTCAGCAAGATCAATCGATATATATTATGGATATTATGATAGTCTATGATCGAGTTAAATTGATCACAATTTGAGTTTAGATAATAAATATATATTGCATATCGCAARAATGGTAATAAAACTAGTATTTTGGTTGCAATAGTTTTACTAACCATTTACCACTTAACTATAAATATAGAATGCATATCGTACATAATCAATTTTGTATATTGCAAAGTCTCTCATTATTAGATCCAGCATTTATATTCCATTAACTATATTTTCATTGAAATAATATAGATAAAATATTAAAACAATGTTAGCTATTATTATTAATACTAATATGAATTTATGAGTTTTTTTATAATCTAGAAAAATTAAAACCGAATCGTTTGGTACTGTCCAATAGTGGGATAAGTTTTTCGGTTTRATTAAGTGTTCAATATTTACAGTTCAGTAAAATTTACGCATATWTACATGATGAAAATTTAAAAGTATGGTCCACGTTAAAGCTTTAATTTAAAGAATATTTCTGGAATGAAATTCAGCATGTGACCTAGACAGTATAGACCCATCAAATGGCCAAATATTACAGAGTACTCAGAATGCTCTCGGTCCAAGCCACAATAATGATATATATATTAGTATCATCCAAGCGCATATTTTGATAAACCACATGTGTCCGGACTTCAAGTAATTATTAACATATTT